GTTATGTAGTCAAGTGCATTTGTAATAATGGATTATTGTCATGAAAATGATGTAATAGCATCTATCAAATCTTTCCTTTTTTTTCTTATGGATTGTTTTTTTTTTTTTTGTTTATTTAATTTATAATCAAAATAAAGATTTTAAGATATCCAAATAAACTTTTTTTTTTATGAAAAACAATGTATAAATCACAAATATAATTCTATATTATAATTATGTTTGTAGCTTATACCTTTAGTTCTAGTAAAAGGGTAAAAAAAAAAACCCCAAAAAACAAAGAAATTTAATATTACAAAGTCCACACCTAAACTTACTTAATTGCATTTACTGGAGCTCGGAGGAGGGCAATAATTCACTGAATTCGATGGCCATCCAACCGAAAAGAGAAGCAGGCAAGAAGATCTTGAATTTATTATTGCTCCCGGATTCAAAATTGAGAAATAGAGGAGCAGAGAGTGGTCAGAGAAGCCAGAATTAGGAAGAAAATTTTTAGAAAAATAGAGAGGTTGAGTGCTCGATTTATTATTTAGTTGAGTGCCCGATTAATGCAAAACTAATTATAAGCAATGCCTTTAGATTTTTTATGAAATGAAGAAAGATTGTATGATCATTACGTTTTTCTTATAGGAGTGAGATTAAATGAGCATTGGCTTTAGTAGTGTCGAGGGTGTTGGCATTGTGGTTGAAAATTACGATAAACTCTATGTGGGGTGATGGGCATTAGCTTTTTTGAAAACGGTAGGCGACAATCTTAGCGACAACATAGACATAATTCTTATCCGAGTTTGAAGATATCAGCCGACATGATAACATTGTCTATCGATGCTTTTGACAATGACTTATATTTCTGTTGGGGGCCATTTATGTTGTCGCCTTCATGATGATGGTGTGCAATGGGTGTTGTCGGCAATGGCGCGCATAAACCTTGGTGGAACCATCAAAATTGTTTGCTATAAGAAATGATTGGCTTCTACTATTATAAATATGGTGGGCATCAGTGTTAGCCTTGGTAGGCTAGCCCAACTTTCTTGTAAAATGAGAAGACTATTGCAAGTTGTCGGCAATATTTTAAAAAATTGATAATTTAGTTTAATAATAATCGTGACTAGGCTAATATTTTGATTTAAAATAAGATTTTTAAGTTGTTTGGTTATAAAATTTTAATTTGGATGTATTATAAAAAAGATAAACAGAACATTAATGTATTTTAAATGTTTTCTTTTAATTAAGTGGTCGTAAAAGAAATCATCAAAATTATTTTTTGTGTTTGAATTGATATAAGATATAAAATTTTAATATTTTTCACTACAAGTGATGTTTTTATTAGGTCCAGAACTATTATGATGAAGATATTCTAATATCGAGTAATGCAATCACAAAGTTGAAATATTATTATCTCTACCTTAGTCTTTAGGGCACATTGGATCTTGATTTCTCATAATTGAAGTCAAAATGTTAGGCATTAGATTATATTAAACAAATTGTTCCATTGAACATGAGATGAAGATTTTTCAAGAATTGCACCTGTATAGTCGAATATCATAAAGGCCAAATTCAAGTCGATACTGTGTAGCTGAATACTTGATGAAAGAAATTAAGCTGGAAAAAACCCATAGGTTCACCCTTTCTACATGAAGACTAGACTAGCAAACCCAACAAACTTGCAATATAGGAAAATTCATCCATCAAAATGCAAATTGCCGCTTGTCAATTTAGCTTACTTAAATCCTTTCTATTTAACATGAAAGATAATTACCTCAGTCTAAAGAGCTTTATCAAGCTATAAATTGCACTATAAAGTCTTTTTTTTTATTTTTACTCTTCAACGAGCAATAACCAAAACTTATAAATAAGGAGTCAAATTTATAAATTACTTTAGTAACTTCTTTCACTGAACTCTTTCAATAAATGACATTAGTAGCTGGGAATCTAAGATAAAACTTCTAATATTATTAAGAACAACACAATCATTACTAGCTAAATTGGGAACTCTAAGGATAGAAGTGGTTCCATCAAAACTTCTGTGGTTGCTACTTGTGTCATCAACAACACATCTTTTCTTAGGTAACATTTTATGCAATTTATCCAAACACAAAATAGGATACAACAAAAAGTGTAAAATAAATGTTTATACATCCCTAGAAAATTTATTAGATAAAGCATGGATCACGATACAATAAATTTTTAGAATTAATTTTAGTAGGACAAATTAAACTTGAATTAAAAAAAAAGTCTAATCAAAATGAACATATTAACACGATGAGTCCAACGATTCTAAAAGTGTTTTGTTTCGATATGAGCCCAGATCAAGAATTGAAATATATGTTGAAGCTTCTCAGTATAATTTAAGGGACTTGAAGTTATTGAATCTTATGTATTTCTTATTAAAATGAATGCCATAAAGGTAAAAATCTAGCAGAGTCAAAATAACTTAAATTTTAATGACAATATGATAACTTGAGAAAAATTTAACAAAATTTCAGTAGTTTGATCTACTATTCTTGGTCTTAGTTCTTCAATTACCTCTCTTGTACGAGTTGATAAAATTATTTAATTAATTATATTTTGATCTTCTTATTTTTTTTACTGATTGGTTTAAAAAGTTTGAAATATCATAGAATTGCTTAGCTTTGATCATATTAGTGGGTCTGGCAAATCTCTTATTCCATTACCACAAATTACATGGTAATAGACTTAATAGTTGCTTTATTATTGGCTACTTTGTTTGTTGTTCATTTATTGAGATTTTCTTCGAATCTATTTCTTGGCAGTTATGTGTCAATGTATGATCAATTAGTTATATCTTATATTTTTATCCCTTTATTTAGTTTATTGTCATTGGAATATTACAATTTTCTCAATGTACAACATTTACTGATCATTTATATGTTGACGTGAAAAATATTAAGGAAAATCCAAATACAGCTTCTTCACGCATGAGGAATAAGTTGCTTAGACTAACAAAAGATGTCCAACTTAGAAAAATTAGGAAGAGAAAGTCCACAGTGTAAAAGTATTTAATTAAAATTTCATCCACTTCCAAAGGAATTGTAATTCTCTATTTGTATTACATCTACTGTGATATAAAATTTCGTATATCTAAAATAAACACGAGCCGCGAGCTTAGACCCCTCGGATGATTTAAAGATTATAAAAAAGATGCAAGGGAAAAAAGTTTTTGATGTATCAAATAAATGCAAATCTTGATTTTGAAAGCTATAACATTTAAGACTTCTCTAGGATTCTGAAAGCTTCTTCGTGCACGTAAGGCAAAGCTTAAGAATCCTTAACCACCAGCTTTCTTCATTAGCTATATAATCTGAACTCGAGTGAAAAGAAAAAACTAGCCACAATGCAAACGACTCCAATAAACTAGCCAACCTCATTTGAAAAATATGATTCATAATTCACTTGGAAGCTTCATAGCCTGATATCTCGACGCAAACGCCCAAATCTATCTTGCAACCCCAATACCTCTCGGGCAAAATTTTGATTTCCAGTTAGGAGCAACCCATTGAGCACCTTATTGAACATGAACCTCCTAGGCAAATGCCCGCACTCCACCATCTCCATCACCATCCTCCCAGCCACCACCATGTCCTCCGACTTCTTCCTCGTGAACATGCTGCTGATCACCGCGTTGTACGTATCGAGAATAGGCAAACAATCACCTCCCTCCTTCATCCTCCCAAACAGCTCCAAAGCCTTCTCCACCTCACCTTCTTCACACCAATGCTTTATGACAATGTTGTAAGTCTGTACATTAGGCTTACGTCTTTCGTTCTGCATCCTCTCCATGAACTCCATAGCCCGACCCATCTCACCACCATGGCATAGCCCCTTGATCACATTTGTTAACATCCAAGTTTTGATTTAGTTGGCTTTGGATGAGTTTGACTTGGAGATTAAGTTGATGGATTCAACTCTAACACATTTTCATGACTCCAAGAATCAATAATGAAATGGCATGCCTTGCCTCCATTTGTACAATAAGATTTAAAATATTGAAAGGATGCTTCAAATGATCAGGAATATGATAGAAGAGAAACGCTTGCTTGTTCTTTTGGGTAATCAATCCCTTTCGAATTTTGTTTACAGATAAATTAATTTTACTTTAATGAATTTTTAATTAAAATTATGAATTTAGTTAATATTTAGAATTTATAATGCAATTATAATTAGAGATAATGTATATGATCATCGTTATTATGTTGAATGTGATTATTAGAATAATCAATTTAATTACTTAAAAAATTGAATGAATTTTGGTTGTTTTGATAACGAGTGTTTATAATCAAAATTCAAATAATTAAATTCATTATTTTAGTAACTTCATTAAAAATAATAAAAAATAAATATTTTATTCGTGATCAAACAGAACTTAGATTATGTACTTTTGTTCCTCTTATATATATTTA